TAGGAGCATTTTCATTGGCTATCACTTCATAGCTGATTAATCCCAGCTTTTATTTCTAAGGTAAGTAGGCAGGGTCTCACTGCTCAGCAGGAGATCAGAGCTGAACATTAGACTAAAGATGTGTGGCTTTTGGTCAACAGAGCCATTTATAATCTGGGCTCAGCTGACTGCCGGAATAAAAATGAGACTTACAGGTACTGTATCGAGTGGCCACTGCCTCGCTCTGAGCTCCATCTCCATACAGAGCAGACAGAGAGATCTGGTATTCCTTATCCTCCTCCACACCCCCCAGGATGGCCTCCTTACTGTCTCCGCCCACCTTCAGCTGAAACACAAGCAGCAAACATCTCAACACCTCAGTCCCTGATCAGATCCAAACACACGTTTCCAGAGGATTGTCAGCCAGCATGGAACGCTCCAACCTCACCTGTCGCAGATCTCCCTCACTTAAGGAGATCCATTTAATGAGGTAATAGACCACATCGTCTGCCGCCGCCTCCCAGCGCACCGCCATTTCACTGCCTGAGAAGTTAGTCACCCTGAGATCCGATGGAGAAGGAACCTTCACTGGCAGAGAGGAGAAGGTGATGAGGAAACCTCCAGCAGAAGAAGCAGAGTCTGGATGACAGTTTGTGTATGTTGGCTCACGTGTTGTGACGTTACTGGTGAGTGGGGCGGAGAGGCCTTGTGGGTAATGAGACTGGACTGAAACCAGGTATGTGGACAGAGATGCAAGGCTTTGAACCAGCACAGAGTTCTGTCCCTCTACCTCCACCTGGACCAATCACACAAAACATGTCGCACAAGCTGAATTATGATCCATCACAGAGTCGCTCTATAGACACTCAGCAGTGATTGGACAGCAAGCAAAGGAAATATAATGCAGAATGTCCAGAACTAAACATTCCTGCTGTTAAACTGCTGAATGGAACACATCAGAACGACTGTTACCCAAAGGTGGTCCTCAGGTTTGCTATCATGACCCTTATTTAGGTTTTATATCAGTAAACGTTCCAAAAAAAGAAAATTAAAAACAAT